CTTTTTTTTAAAGCACCAGGAGCGGGGGCGGGCAGGGTAGCCATGGGGGGCTGGGGGAGCAGGCAGGAGATGGGGCCTGGCAGGGGTCCCTCCATGGTCCTTTTTCCCCTCCTTCAGCCCCCCCTACCCTGCCCCCTACTTACTAGCATGGAGTCCGGGTCCAGCTTCCTGCTGTAGCCAGTGGGGACTGCTTGAATTGCCGAAGCTCTCCAAATTTTTTCTGAATTGATTCAGAGAGCTTCGAGTTGATTTGGACCTTTTATTTGGTCTCCTGATTTGATTCAGATTCAGAGATTTGGCCACTGAATCAGGCTGAATCTCCTCCGAATCAAATCAGCCCCCGAAGCTTCGCACAGCCCTAGTGCTTCAGCATTGTGAAGACATGGGCTGGAGAGGAGGAATCCCTGAATACCCTCTCAGGCTTCAATCTCCAGAAGTTTGCAAGGACAGGAAAGGAGTCTTTTGCGGTCTACCCTCTTCGCTGGCCCCCTACTCTCCCCCAGTGGAGGGGGCACTGTGGGATGCCAGAAAAGCACTGAAGTGCTTACTTCATACTTGTTATTCTTTTTTTGTGGGTCATTTTTAAGTACTTCAGAGGTGAATGTCTACACCTTTGCTGTTTGGAGCCCATCAGCTTGGAGTGCTTCAAGCAGCATGTCTGTCCATAGCCTGTATGTACATTAGGTGGTTGCCAGCTTAGCTCTGCTGGTTAAGGTTGGGTGTGGTATTTTTTTTACCAAGCAGATCAAAACATAGGCACATAGAAGTCAAACTCATTAAGTCAATGGGATTTCAATTCTTAAGTACCCAAAGTAGATTTAAAAAATGTTTTTTCTTTTTAAAAAAAATTAAATATATATTTTATGTTTCAAATCTGATAAAATTAAATGTTAGGTCTAACTTTTCTATGATCTATATGCATCTGTCAGACAGCCCTATTTAAATTATCATGGAATAAAGAATGCTCCTTTTATTATATATAGAATCAGGAAGAGAACATCTTGAACTTCTGAAATTAGTTTAAGCTTTAAAACTGTCTTTGTCACATACTATATTAAGTATATATATATAAACACCAGCCTTTTAAAATGGAAAGGATGATAAGTATACACATATTTCCAAATATAAGCACTTTCAGTTTCTGATATGTAGTAAAGCATTTTGCTTTAATGACTTTTGGCTTCACTTTATTTAGCAACTGTAGTGAGGATATTTTCTCCATTTGAACTAGTTCACTCAAAGCTGAGAAATTGTATTGGGCATTAAAAAAAAGCAGGCAAGCTTGTTTTGTCATTATAATTCAAGGATGAAAACCAAATGAGAAAAGCTGAGATCTATTAATTCTAGAAAGTTGAAGGACATGGGGCCACATTTTCAGAGATTTTCATGTGATTAAACATGCAGGTAGGTGCCTACTGGTATTCTCAAAAGCATTTAAGCAGGTTAAGCATCCAGCTTCCTTGGATTTGTTTAATCTTTAAAGTATGAAGAACATCAGGGCTTGTCTTCCCAGTTTTGTTGTCCACATCCTTTGGAGGATCGTGAAGTGGATCAAGAGCTTTTGTAGCACCTAATTGAAAGAACGGGTTAAACAATTTAACAAAATAGCTTATCTATCAACTCTTAGTTCGATATTTTGTGTTAAACTGATGGTAAAACAACAAAGAAAACATTCTGAGTAGCAGTCATTCTCCTTCAGTTCCTTGGGTGACCATATTTCTATGGCATTATAACATAATATAAACATGTTATACCACTTAAAATAAACATGAAAGACAAGGCATAAATGTATAATCTAAACTAAAGCCAGGAAGAATGTAATTAAGAATGGAAGGAGAGATACCTATGTAAAGTGGCAAAAAAGTCAGTTCTCTTTATAATACATCCTTAATACTGTGTGATAATATTAAGCAAGTTAACAAACCCTTTAAATCTACTTTGGCTTGAAATGCCCTCTTAGATTTTAACATCTTTTTGAATCTCTCTAAATCTATTTTATGAGGCCTTAATTGTCAAAGCATATAATACATAGAACCAGCTAACTAAGGGCTTGCAAG